TATTAGTTAAAAAAGTTTCAAAAATCCAATAGATTTCGTTCCACTTCACAATTGTGTCCCACTTGTTGGTGATTCTTCACATAAAATAAAAAATGTATATCTTTATGTTTGAAGCCTGAAATGTGGCAAAAGGTTGAAAAGTTCAAGGGGGCCGAATACTTTCGCAAGGCACTGTATGTTGTGGCTCAGAATAAGGGCTCATTAAATGCCTCCTCACGCTATTCTGATCTCCACAATGGTGCAGAAACACTAAATCTATTGAGATGAACGATACTTAAAAGAGACATGTAGGTGCCTGGGGCGCCATTGTATTACACTTGGGAGTTCGAAGTACTACCGTGCAACAAAGAGTTTTGAGATTCTGGGAAGAACGAATATGACAGATATATGCTGGTTATATACCAGGGTGCCCTTATACAGAATAACCGTTTTTGTAACAGATGGCGATTGTTAGTGCTTTGAACTAAAGGAAGACAGAGATGGGACATGTGAACCACGTGCCTGTAGAAACACATCGCCACCTTGTGATCCACCAGTCCACCTCCCCTGTCATCACCATGAAGCAGAGGAGGGTAAAGAGAGATCACGGAAAATTAGTAACCGATTAGACAGCTGGTTGAATGACTAAGGGAAATGTGACCCTTTATGTATCACGCTACTGGGTGAAGTAGAAAATGTCTGTGGAATATGCTTATAAAAATGCCGCTTAGTCAGGTTAGGCAAGTTACGTAACAGCACGACAGGCACCATGAAACGCACTACTTGTGCTCGCATTTATATTGTAAATGATAAAACAAGTTCTTGAAATGTTGGTAAGGGTTGGTCCTTTATTACAGTGAGAATGAACTCCAGTTATTTTATAGCAGTGGTTGGCTGTGGGTGTCCTACTTTGTATGTTTTGGCCAGAACCCAGTATGTCCTCCTTCTCCAGCAGTTATCCCGACATTCCTCAGAGTGTTGTTTGCTATTGAAATGTCCTACACTGCATTTAGATACCCAATAATGTGGTCAGGTGGCAGTAGAAGGAGCCAATGGGATCATGTAGTAGTTCTAATGGAGAGGTTGGTGTTATGGCTGTGTGTCATACAATCTAATAGCCTAAGTGTTAAGCTGAAAACGGTCAGGTTAATGACTTTACACACTTAAGGTGAATTTCAAACTTAGACTGCATCAACAAGCTGTGAGCTCAGCTTAGGGTAACTAAGGGAATGATTCTGTTTCGGGACAACACCACTACCATTGTCTTTCTGGGAGTACATTTACAGGTGCGTAATCGAGCCCTTCAGTACCTGTGAGCCAGCAGGTTCAGAGAGAAGTAGGTCTGTCATATATTACAAACTCCATGGGCGGATTTCGTGTATCGTCAAAGCCAGGAATTTTGTATTGTGCTGTTCCCGAGTTTGGGCATGTGACCTTGTTTTCTTGCTTTAAAAACCTTTAATGTGTAACGGCTGCGTTAGACTTTGACAGGTCTGGCCTTCTAGGAGAGAATGAAGTGGCTGTTTATGGGCTTCCTGGACAGAACAGAACAGTTTCAGGTCATAAGCCGTAAAGCTCAAATCCGCAACCTGTCGAGATTTGAGGTTTGGTTGTGTGATCACTTTCACGCTCTGTATTGAGTCCTCAGTCCAAACATGAAGATGTAGTTCCAGTATTGGTGCTCACTCAGCCATTCGGTTGCTTGTGATTAGCAGTGTGATGTATTTGGCTTCCTGCAGTGTTTTAACTCGGTGAACGCCCATACTTTCCCTGTGTAATGTCTGCTTTTACTGGTCACAGTTGAGCGGTTTCTTTCGAACAGTGGTTCATCTGCACTTGCCCTTCTGGAGATGCAGGACTTCATCTCGCCCTGGAACGAGACTGAGCCACTGAGGTCCCGCTGTGACGTGAACTGAAGGGGGCTGTGAAGGTGAAGACTGTGTACTGGTGTTTCCAGCTCACACTCCTCGCCGTGACTGCACGCTGCCATGTGAACATACCAAGGCCCCACAATGACAGTTCACCAGCTGCTCCTTTCAGGAGGAACTGGCCACGTCCATAGCAGATGCAGGTTAGGTTTTCTGGAGGTCGGCAGCCAGGGTACGAACCTCAGTCAATAGATGCACAGCAAGATTCCTTGAAAGCTAGCAGTACATTTCAGATATATTCATATTTGCACTGTGCTGCACGGCAATCCTATGTCCAAGGGGCAAAGGACGTTGGCTTTTTTCTCCTTCAGTATTTCCTATTGCTCAATCGTCTGCATCAATTTTGTTTTTGACAGTTTTGACCACCACTGAATTAGCGCTGTAATGGCTCCTTGGCCAGTGCTTTTATCTCTTTCTGTTGTACACACTTGGCCCTGTACAGGCAGGGCTCTTGCAAAAGCGTGGTTTCAGTGCGGATGAATATGTGGTTCAAATGGTTGTTGAAAAATTGAAAGTATGTCTGAAAGTTCTGTAGCGCTAACCTCAGCCCTGACATTCATATATGTTACATATTGCTTATACCTTGCTTATTGCACCTCTGGTATTTGCATCCAAAACAATAAGTTTGTGTAGGCTGTGTTACTGAACACTTGTTAAGATTTGCAAGAAATTAAATATACAAAATGCAGTCAAAATAAATAAATGCAGTGTTGCACCCATAAATGCAAATTTCCGCATTAAAGGTGTGTAGGTACGACATTAATTTGATCTTGACCAGATCAGAGTTGATTAGACCCGGTTGCTAAAGAAGACCAATTGTTGCAACAGTTTCACATGCTTTTGTAAACAGACGTACTGCGAGAGGGAGTCTCTCTGGGACGAGAAGGCAATAAAAACATGAACTGACTTTTTTTCTGAAGAGGAAAGAGGAAAGAGTGTCAGGAAGTAACTTGACACACTGAACACACGCCAAAAACTGTAGAATTTGCTGTTTTAACCGAAAAGAAACTCGCCACACATACACACCCCTCGAGTTAACGGACTAACGTGACATCTAAGCTTATCTTCGGAAATTGTGGGATAAGTGGATTTTGAAATATTTCATCAAAGGACTACACAATTCACCCCATACATTATGTAAGTATTGCAAGACTGCATGTTGACCCTTGATTAAAGCCATCCCACTGGCATGTAGCTTTTCAGGGATACCCAAGTGGCAGGGCTGGAGATATTGAAAGCCATTCCTTCCCTTTGTCCCTGGATTTGTGCTCCACAGCAGTCTGTTGGTGACCAGCTCATCCCGTTCTGAAGGACAGAGGAGTGCTCAGCGGTGCTTTGAGTTAACTCGTGATTGTTTTAGACCACCCAGGTGTTTCTTGGGCATCGTTAATGAAAGACTCCAGTGCTGTCTGCCAAAACAGATGCTCTCAGCTCCGCGGGTTTATGGAGAGACCATGCAAATGATCAGAAATGGAACTGAAACCGCCGAATAAGAAAAGCAATAAAGTTTTTCATTTCAAAGGAGGAAGAAAACGCATCTGAACAGCACTGCTGTGGAAAGCTGACTCGAGCATTTTGAGAACAGGAAAATGCTGTCAGGAGAGGTACAGTATGTGTTCTCTTTAGAATGGGCTAGAGACCGATTCTTCCAGCCTCATCTCTGAATCCCACTCTGCCAACATTGTCTTAACGACCCAATAAACTTGAAGACCGTCCAAGGCAAGACATTTTAGACATTGATGAGCCCTCCACATTTTTTACACTTTAATCTTTTTTTTTGGTGTTAACAGTGAATGCTTTTGCAAGTTTGATTGGTTTCAAACTGCGTTCTCCCCTTACCTTGATGCTAAGATCAATTTTAAAGTCCAGTTATTGTTCAAGTTGGCTTAGACACAATGCAAGTTCTAGTCTTCAGTAACAGAACACTATTTTACGATTAATATGAACTTCAAACTGCCTCTGCAAAAACGTTTAAACTCATTGACCCTCAGTTTATATTCTACTTTGATCTCCACTTACAATTTGCATATAAAACCAAATACTTGAGCTACCAGCTTCATGCAGTATTATTGTAGGCCTGTGAAGATGAATACACTTCCACAGGCCTTTTCTGAACAGAATGCCTCCTGTGTGAACAATGCACTTCTACTCTGCATGACCAAGACTTCTCTTTATCTTCTTTTGGGTCCTGTTGTTTTTCCCAACCATGACATTGTAACGTCCTGTAAATGCTTTCGAACTCTGTTTTTGCACAGTGTGAAAGAGCTTTACACCCAGTCAGGCATCACTGCTGTACAGGCGAAACATGCCAAACTCCGGATCCTGATTCATATCATTTTCCTTAGACATCCCCTTTATTTTTACTGGGGCTCATCTTTCAACACGTTTTTTATTATAATTCTTAGGGAGACCCACTAGCACAGTGGCTTGAACTGGGCCTGTGTTCAATACCACACCTGGGGTGCTGTCTGTGTGGAGTTTGCATGTTCTCCCCAGGTTTGCATGGGTTTCCTCCAGGTGCTCTGGTTTCCTGCTACTGTCCTACAGTAGGTTAACTGGCTATTGGGGAAATGGTGTGTGTGTGTCTGTGAGTGCCCAGTGGTGGGCTGGCCTTGCACCCGGTGCTTGCTCTGGCTCCCCTGTGCCCTTATGCTTGACAAAGCTGTTAGAGAACAGCTGGGGGAGTGTTTGTTAATCCAGCTCTAAGTGATTCCTGTTCTGTGACAGTCACAGTTACTAACTAGGTGAAAATGCACACAGACGAGAGCAGGGTGGCACGTAAAACAGCGAGAGGGGGTGAAATGTATGTGAGGTGGGGGGAATGTTATCTTCTGGGGGTTGTATAATGTTGGGGAGGGGGAGGCAAAAAATAATAATTTGGAAATTTGTAAGCAAAATGCTCTCAAAGGCACTGACAGAGTCAATGTGAGGGACTTCGCTATTAGCTACTTAGCGACCTAGACAGACTGAGGCGGAGCGGTGGCTCTGTGGCTCAGGATCTGCGCCGGTTCAAATCCCGCGGCCGGCAGAGGAATCCTCCTCCGTTGGGCCCCTGATCAAGGCCCTTCACCCCAACTGCTCCAGGGGCGCCGTACAATGGCTGACCCTGCGCTCTGACCCCCAGCTTCTCTCCATGTCTGTGTGTCTGTGTCTCCATGGAGAAAAGCTGGGGTATACGAAAAGACGAATTCCTAATGCAAGAAATTGTATAGGGCTAATAAAGAAACATTATTATTATTATTATTATTGAAAGACTACCAACTAGACGAGGCTGTATTTTTCTTCTCTTTTCAGCAGGAATAAACCTTGACTTGTTCCTTTGCCGCCTACGCGTGCTGACGCAGTCACCTTCTTAAACTACTTCGTTCCTGATCTTTTTCAACTGATCACTCTTCAGTAACTTCTTTTCAGCCCCTAAAACCCTCCTGCAGAATCGTATCTATCATTATAAAAGCTATTTTCCAGAGGAATCGTCCATCTGCTCTTATTTTTTCATTCATCCCTGTTGCATGAGCTCACGCTTCCTTCCCAAAACCCCGAGAATCCCGTTGGCCGAGTCATCGCTGCAATTTACAAAACCCCACGAAATTGACTGACTTTCGTTTTGGAGGAAAAAAAAACCGATCACGTGCAAATTGCCTAAAACTAAAAAACAACGCACCGGCGTTTTTTTAGGGTACCGCCCCCTTCCCCCCCCCTCCCTCCATCGGGGCGACCTCAAGCCGCGATTGGTGCTTCCCGTTCCGAGGTCGAAGACGATTGGTCCATCCGGCGGCAGTTCCCTCCCCCCCAGCCCAGCCCCTGGAATGCCGCGGTCTGTGACGTCGCCGGCGGGGCGGGGCAGGATGCGGCAGTACACAGCAAGACATGTGATCGGCTAGTGTTTTTAAACAGGTAGCGGGCGGCCAGGTAAGAGTCGGGGCGAGGAGGCAAAATGAGAACGGGGCTTTCGTGATGCTGCAGGCAGTGCGGTCTCTCTACGCCTGGCGTGGTTTTTTATGTCACTTTTTGTCTCCCCGTTCACCTCCCATCAGTTTAAAGAACCATCTGTTGTCTTTGATGGGCTCCGGGGTCGGCGGTCGGGAATGAGGACTGAGCCGGAGGACAGCGGTCTCGTCCAAAAACCAGCGCGCTCAGATGTTCTTTTTATGTCTTTTTTTTTTTAAATAACGCAGCCGCTCTCTCTTAAACGCTGGCGTCCGGGGCTTACAGGTTTCCACTGAACACGAGCACGTCAATGAAGACGAGAAACACGCCTCTAGTCCAAGCGAGGGGGTCCTGGTTTTCGTGACTGAAGCTGGACACTTAAAAAAACAAACAAACAAACAACAAAAACAAAAGGGCGATCATGGCTGACGAGCGCTCCATGCCCCTGTGCAGCCGCCTGAGCTACTCGGTCGGGCACTTTCTGAACGACCTGTGCGCCTCCATGTGGTTCACATACCTGCTGGTGTACTACCACTCCGTGCTGGGCTTCCAGAACACCTGCGCCGGCATCCTGCTGCTGGTCGGGCAGATCGCGGACGGGGTCTGCACGCCTCTCATCGGGTACGAGTCGGACCGGACCCCGGGCTGCGGGCGCTACGGCAAGAGGAAGTCCTGGCACCTCGTGGGTAGGTGGAGGGGTCACGCCGCGGGTGTCTCGAGCTGGAAGTGGGGGCTCTGTGGCTCAGGGTCTGCGCCTGTGACTGTGACTGAAAGGTTGCCGGTTCAAATCCCCCAGTTGTCAGAGGAATCCTACCCCATTGCGCCCCTGAGCAAGGCCCTTCACCCCAGCTGCCCCAGGGGCGCCGTACAATGGCTGACCCTGCGCTCTGACCCCCAGCTTCTCTCCCTGTCTGTGTGTCCGTGTCTCATGGCGAGCAGGTTGGGGAATGCGAAAAGACGAATTCCTAATGCAAGAAACTGTATAGGGCTAATAAAGTGATCTTAACCTTAAACGTCGGTCTCGCTTCCAGAACTCGGGGGGGGGGGGGGGGGAACGGCTTCGCACCGCTTCCTCAAACCGAGGGCTTCGTGCTTTAACGTGCTCCTCTGAGCCAAGGCGAGAACTAAGGTACCCCGCTACCAGTTAGGCATCATAAAGGACATCGTACATCGAGCACTTAAGCCTCTGGGGTGGGAATAGCTGTTTTGGTGGCTGTTGAACTGGCGTGCATGAGCCGCCGCTCCTTGTTCATGTGAAGTAGCTGGACTCCAGGTCCGCGCCCGTGTCGCAGGTCGCCGGCCGTCACGTGGTGCTTAACACACACACGTGGCCCAAACTCGTTCGATTGGGCACCCGCTCGAGGTATTGATCAGCTAAGTAAGTCATTCGGTCAGTAATTGGGGGAGCGGCGGGGAATTCCCGTCCCACGTGATCTCTAATGGACGTTGTTTACTCTTTAAAGGCTGATGAGTGAATGGTTATCTGTAAGACCTGGGAGATTGTCTGTATCCCCTCAAACTGAGAGACTCGGACTAGCTGCTCTGTGGCCCTAGAGCAGGGCTTTCAGGCTGTCTCAGGTGAATCATTGTGATGCTTCTAGCCTGTCTCCGAGGTGTGGTCGACAGTACAGCCTGAGGGCAGTGGATGTTCTGAGTGGTCTGAAGCGGGGGCCGCGAGGCTGCGCTGTGGTGAGGATTGCTGCTTCACACTGCCGGAGCCCTGGGCTCAGCTGTGGTTTGTGTTTCCTCCAGGTGCTCGGGTTTCCTCCCACAGTCTAATGACACACTGGTAGGTTCATTCGCTTCTAGGAAAATTGGCCCTGGTGTGTGTGTGTGTCTCGGTCTGCTGAGATTTCGTGGAACTTCTTTAAACTCTTGGAGGAAAATGAAGGGGAACTTGAACCTCCTCTTATTTCTAACCACTCTGCCCAGTTCAGGGTCGGGAGGGAGCTGGGGTCTATCCCAGCAAGCAGTGGGTGCAAGACAGGATACACCCTGGATGGGACACCAGTCACCATGGGGCACAGGCACACACACACACTCACACCGGGGCCAGCTTTCCCAGAAGCCAATTAACTTCTCAGTATGTCTTTCAATTGTGGAAGGAGACTGGGGCACCCCAGTTGAAACCCACATGAGCACAGGGAGAACATACAAACTCCATGCAGACAGCACCCCTGAATTGAACCCGGGGCTGTGAGGCGACAATGTTAACCGCTGTGCCATCATTCCACCCGTAAGTTTAACTCCCATCAGTGAGATGAATGCAACTGGCTCAAGAGCTATAAGATCAACATTACGGTTCTGGGTGCTTCACTACAAAAAGAACACTGGCACTTTTGAAAGAGTTTGTAGACGAGCCACCCGAATAGTTCCAGATGTAAAAGAAATGTCATCCAGAGGTTAAAAAGGCAGAGTCTCACAGGAGATATGATGTTGGTATTCAGAATCCTAAAGCACATTGACAATGTCAACCCCATGGAGTGAACTGAGGGGACAACTGGAATTAAGGACTTTTCTACACAAAGGGTGGTGGGTGTCTGGAACAGGTTACACAGCCTCGATGTTGAGGTGGTTTCCCTGGAGAAGCTCAGTAAAGAACTGGATGAGATCCATGGATCAATTAGCTACTAGCAACCCAATGAGCTGGATGGGCCAAGTGACCTCTTGTTTGTAACCTTCTTACACTGGATTAACAATGTTTCCACTTTCAAAGAAAGAACTGTTTAGGGATTTTCGTGAATGAGCTTTAGATTCCATAAAAATCCTAAACAATATTATTATTGAGTTCCTGCAAGGTGGATGTCTTTTGACATAGCTTGTTTTTAATCTTGCGGCAGCTACGTAGAGGAGACTAAACGTGCTGTCCGCCATCAGGCAGGGGACAGGTGCATCAGAAAGGGTGTAAAACAGCCCAGAATTATGGCAGGGTGATGAGTCACGGGACTGCAGGGGTGAAGGGTTAGGTGTGGCAGTACGTCACCCGTGTGCGCCGCGTGGTTTGAGCTCCAGACAGCGGATCGAGCCCAGAGCCCACCTACAAATTGTACACGAGTGTCTGGCTCTGTTGCAGCAATAGCAGCTCTAATGTGTGAGCATGATCGCTCTTTAGTTTCCTTGTGCAGAGTGCTCCGCGAGGGCTTTGACAAACCAATGGCAAGCCTGTTTGTAAAAATATACGATTAAGCCACATAAAAGACAGTTTATTTCTTCTGGTCATGCCAGCACAAGCAGAAAATGCCGCAGCACAGAGGGAAGCCCCTGTTCAAGCTGGACTGCCTTGCTCACCGCAGGGGAAGCACAGGAAAAAGGACAGTTAGTGGAAATAGTTCGGGGAGTAGCGGACGTCTGCGGATGGCCGTTGTGCTGCTGAACGAGCTCTGACCAGGCCGAGCTGAGCTCACTCCGTTGACGAGTAAATTGAGTTCCAGTGTGGCTCGCACGAGAGCTGTGAGAGACTGAAAGCTTGCAGGATTGGATTAGTTGGATTCAAATGATTTATCGGTACTGTCAGTTGAGTTGTGAACTTGCTAACTGAATAAGTCATTGTTGGCCATTTTCTGACTTGTCTGTAAGCCCTTTGTTGTCTGTGAATGGCTCTTTCTTTTGGCTCAGTGCAGCTTGATGTTTCGCTTATGTCTCTTTAAAGTTATATCGAAGTGATTCTAAACCAGAAGAGTACACGTTTCCAGGTGTGACATTTTAGAGGGGTGCTCCTGATCATGGTGTGTTTGATGGGGGGAAAATTGCTACAAGGCACAAATAATTGTAAGTGGTCTGGCTTCTCGCCAAAACTACTGTTCCCCCCCCGTTGTAGTCTTTAAATCGAGTCCTGCAATCCTGCTCGGTCTTCACTAGATCGAAGGAAAATAACGCGTCTTTCCCACAGAAGACAAACAAGTCCCCAAACGGGTGGCTCCGCACAGTGAAGTGGAATTCCCCTTGCCGTTGTCCAAGCTGGAAGGCTCTCTGCCTACACTGCCTGGAAACACAGTGCTGTGAGCTGTCAGAGCCCTGAAACAGGAAGAGAAACCTAGTGGCTAGCACATTCTCGACTGTTCTTATAACAGTATCAGGTGTCAAATATAGACTCCCCCCATCCGCTTGCACACAGTTACATGAGCAAAGTGCACGTGATGTAGAATGACGTTAATGTGATTGTTGGACATCATAATTAAGCTTTCTGGGCCTGGGAGCAGGGAAGCATGGTGGCGCATGGGGGGCCCTGGGTTCAATTCAGGATCTGGGGTGCTGTCTGTGTGGAGTTTGCATGTTCTCCCCTGGTTTGTGTGGGTTTCCTCCCACAGTCCCAAAGTTGAGCAGGTTGGGTTTTGGGAAATTTGGTTCTGGTGAGTGTTAAGCTGCTTGCTTTCTAACCAGCATTTCTGCTGCCCTGAAAAATGCTCTTCAAGGTGCTATGCTAAGAACAGGGAAGAGCATGACTTTCTTCTCTGGTGTGGGTAAACTCTGCACCGTGCCTGGGTGTAAGCTTATCTCTGTGACACACATGATAAAGAGGAACAGGCGGTACAGGAAATTCGCTGTGCTGTGCTGTCTGGAAGGGAGAGCTGTTTAAAAAGGAGCTGATCATTACCGCTCTTGGAGTTTTTATTTATCTCTGAGTACTAGGAGAAGACACATTTTGGAAGTGACCCATGTGGTAGTTTTTTACATAGAAATCCAGTTTCTAATGTATGAAATAAAAAGTGAAACTTGCTAAGCGTGTCTACAGTCAACTGGTATGTTTTGAAAGTCCCCTAAATGTTATGTGAAACCATTTTTTTTTCCCCACAGTATTAATTAAATGGCCATAGTGTGACTTTAGACTGAGGATTTTTAAGATGGAGAGTTTTCCTTTAACGTGCATTGACTTCAATGAGCTCAGCTTCTGTACGCAATGCTCTTAAATACAAGGAACATTCAAGGGAACAGAAAAAGGGAGAGAAAATGGAAAAAACTTTTCTCAAATGTTTAACACAATTTCTAAGCCTCACTATTAAGGATGAATGGATTTATAGAATCCTATTGCATCACCTAAGGTTGCAATTTTGATGATTTAAGTAGACTCATCAACCCTGGTGTATCATTAGTTTCATGAGAGCATTGTGACTGACCCCAGCTTGGCTAAGGAGATCCCAGGGGTCTGTACACACCAACACTCACGATGGCCCTTGAATCAAAGTACAGGGTGCTTTAACCCAGAGTTCTTTCAGAGTTTCTTTTTCAGTCACAAAAACAAAACTCTCCAGGCTTTTGAGTCTGCTCCTTCATCGCTCCCAACACTGTGCACAACATTTCCGTACCAAATGGCAGTAATTAAGCCCTCATAACAAAGTGCATTGCAACCCAGTACTAATAAACCAATTGGCGCCCAGTGAATCTATTTACAGTTCAGAGGAGCCCTTTGTCACGCCCTGGTGGTAGCTTTTAGGGAATAGCATTCTCATGGCCGGACAGAATCTGTTGGAGGCTGAAGGAGCATAAAAGCACATTGTACTTTGAACATGGAGTGATCAAGCCTTCAAAGACTGAAACAACAATTGAAGGCAGTGTTCTGCCTGCTTGGAAATGCATTGCTCTTTTTTTGTTTCGCTAAATGTAACCTTGTTGCTCTTCTTTCTTTTGTCCTCCCTCTCCCCAGGGACAGTGAGTGTGCTGCTGTCATTTCCTTTCATCTTCAACCCCTGCATCGGCTGTGGGCAGGAGACGCCGCAGTGGGTGGGCCTAACCTACTTCATCCCCTTCATCGTCATCTTCCAGTTCGGCTGGGCGGCCACACAGATCTCCCACCTGTCCCTCATCCCCGAGCTGGTCACCAACGACCACGAGAAGGTGGAGCTCACGGCTTACAGGTAACTGGTGTTTCGTCTGGGAAATTAAACATCCTTCAGTGGGGGACCAGCAGTTGTGTTGCATCCCAGTCGCAGAGCTGCTCTGAGGAGTGTGGAGGTTGGCAAGTAACGACAATACCCTCTCCTGTCAGTAGTGTTGAGTTTTGGATCCCAAAGTGCCTTAAATACAGCTAGGGACCCACTTCATCCACCACTGAAGAGCAGCCCCACCTGGCTGACGCACAGCAGCCCTTCTGCACCAGCTGCGCCGCATGGGTTAAGGGAGAACTTCGGGACAGCCAAGCTGCACGAGCTCCGGGTGGAATTTAGCCAGGACACCGGGTTTAACACCTCTGCTCTTTACGGCCAGGAGCACTGGGATTGAGCCCAGAGTGGGATTTATTCAGTTTCTTACTGTAATCCCTGAAGCGAATCTTGGAAAAAGATGCATCACAAAATAATACTGCCATTTAGAAATTAAATACCCCAAATAACTAACCATCGAAGGCGTTCATTATACGATTTAAGATCTGAATTGAACAGTCAGAGGAAAAGAGTCTGGGAGCCAGTTTTGATTTAAACCGTTTAACTCGCTTGTTTGATAAAGCGATAAAGCAGAATTAGTGCTGCAAAAGCACCTCCTGATACTCCTACACAGCCCTGTTTCTGGGATTGATCCTTTCACGTGGATGATAATACTAGGAGGACAGCCTACAGTTCCTAGTTTGAGGATCTAAGCACTTTCCAATGGTTGACGCAGCACATGACCTGAAAATTCATGACCACTGTGTTCTCCACACCCGGATCCCAGTGTCTCTGAGGGGAAAATGTTACATGAATGTTACATGAAAAGATTGCTGACATGTTCTATGCAGAATAAACCTGAAGACCCCATTGGGTACATTACGCTTTGTTGTAACCCTTCTTCTCTACTTACAGCCTTCTTCTAGTAGTTTTAGGATCTCGGCTGATTTGAATTAACAGTTTGCTGGGATGAGCAATCCAGACCCCGAGAGCCATCCCTCTCTGCATTGCTGTTTGTTAACAGTTGGGCTTTAGCATTCAGAAATAACTCTCTATACTGAGTTATAGTCATATACTCTAGCTGTTTTAGCACCTTGTGCTTTGCCTGCCTCATATTCTAGCCAGTTTTCCCAAAGGCAGGCACTAAAGCTGCAAGACCACAATAGCTTCTTTGATTCCACGAACAGATCTCCAAAGGAGAGACTTGTGCTCGATGTGCAGTGTTCTGACCCTGCCTGCGGCCCGGAGGTCGCGGGCGTGCGGCTCTCTGAGGGGTTGGGCAGTTGGCCAAGGCATGCTCGGCTCGCTGCGTTCCTGATCGCACGTTGCGCCGAGACGCATTTCTGGTTCTGGAACAGGTTTTGTACCTGCAGTCGCAGATCAGCCGGGCAGGCTTGTGTAACTGTGCTGACATAATAGCGATGCATGTTTGCACTATATTATTGGTTAGAGCTCCGCTTCAAAGTGGTCAAAGTGAGGGCGTGGTCTTGAGCACACAGCCACTCTGATCGCCGAAGGAGCTCTTGTTTGCTCGCAGTTGTTACCTTCTGCCTGATCTGTCTTTCTTCACAAAGCAAGATGGGGATTCCTCAGTCTAGTCCAGGTATTGAGATGTCAGTTTATTTAGATGGATATAAAAGCTAGCTGAAACTTGCCCACTAACCACTCTCCAATCCGCTCTGCTACATGATCTGTAGCAGACTTGGCTCCGTTCTTCCTGCATCCACGTTCATATCCAGGCTGGGGAAGCATCCTTTCTGAAATGCGATCCTATCCAGCTCATCTGCTCTTTGGTTTTCGTGAGTATTCTTGGAGGATGCTCCCGGAGGGGGGGCTGTGCTCAACCTGGGGAATTTTCCTTCTGGAATTCAGGGGGAAATGCCAGGGACCGCGCTGACGGTGACTTCCTGTCCACGCCAGTTGGCTGATAAGGTCAGAATCTTCCCAGATGTGTCTGCCTCCCCCAGCTTCCTGTACAGTGAACCTGGCATTCGACTGTGGTGAAAATCATAGTGTAAGTGTCAAAACGGAAGTGAAAGTGCCCCCAGATGTCAGATGTGTTTTTGTTCAGCGAGTGATTTCAGCTCTGCAGCTCGTGTGAATGTTGTGCACATTATTTTGCACCCTCCTCCATCAGCAGCAGCAGATATTGGTCCCCACGAGGCAATAAAAATAAAGCGTAGTGTGTTACACAAGAATGGCATTGCACAGCAGTTAAACCTTTTCACCCCCCTGTGTTCTCCAGGGAAAACTCTGTTGTGTCATTGTGTATCAAGGGGATTGTTCCTCAGAGTGTTGCCAACTGGGCTACAAAACTGTTGCTTCTAACGCAGCAGGGGGTCTCGGGCAGTGCTCAAGCCCTGTTGGAAATGAGGGCGTAACATGGGCACAGAGTAGCTGGGCTGTCCAGGCTGTGGAGAAGTGCTCATACAGCTGCGTTGTTTGGGCTTCAACAATCTTCCATCCCCTCTCTGAGCCATCGTGGGCCCTGGGATGAACCTGACCAGATTTCTCAAACTAGTACTCTGCCTGGTGAGGTTGGACCACTCTTAGGCCTGATGGTTTAGGCTGCTGGAGGCCAGGGGCCTCAGAGGCCAGGTCTTAGTGTTTTTTATTGCAGAGGGGTGTTTCAGGATGCTTTCCTGATCCCAAGATCACTGTGGTTCATGCTTGAAGAATTACTTACTGAGAAGAGGAGAGATTTTAATGTTTTCCCGCCTTGCTGTACTCGGTGAAAACTATTTAGATCCTGACCGTTCTCTTACTTGAGAAATTCTGCTTCCTTAAAGGAAACGTGTCAGTCCTTTTCAGTTTCACTCTTCTGATACTTGAAAAAAGTATTTAGTACCTGTGATCCTGATTTGTATGGTGCCCCCTAAGCAGTGAAAAGCGCTGGCAAACAAAATGGTGGTGGGAAATGTATCTTATCACTAGATATTGTTGTGATTCGTATTATACAGAACATCTTGTGCTAAATGTGCATATTTTGTCAATAGCAGAAGTTCAAAGTGATGTGCGATGCTACAGAGAAAGAATTGCAAAACCACGAACTTGAGCTCTTCCTAGAAGTACATACTTATAACTGTACAGTACCACGTCACACACCCGGCTGCCCGTGTCTGCTCTTCATCACCACAAAAAGGACTTGGAGAAATTTCTGGGAAAAAAATTAAAGGCTCGAGAGAAGGCACCAAAAAGGCTTTCTGAGAATGACGAGAATTGTTTTTTCTAAACGGCGTTAATGTGCTTGACTATGTGTATTCTGGTTTTAAAAGAGTGCAGATCGGTGTTGGTCAAGGGCATTGCCAATATGTTGTATTTCTTTGGCATTTTCTTAAAAACATTTGATGGATTACAATTGCATTGTTTCATTTATTGAAGCAATTTAACTGCTTTGCACCCTACTGGTCTTCAGAACTAGGTGATTCGTGGTAACCAGTAAGACCAACGGTACCCCTGCAGACGATCAGTGTCAAATACTGTTTGCTGAATGTCTGTCTGCTTCTGCAAACCAGCTCTTTCCATTCATGCATTGACTTGGAGTGACAAAAGAGAGCTTTAAAAATTTAAAGCTTTTCACTTAAGTATAACCTTTACTGCAACACTTATGCACATCATTGTACAATTTGCATATTAACCGGCCAGATAAGTATGTTACATTGTTTGCCTGCCTTAGTGATACAGAAATGTGCCTCTAGGCTTTTTCTGGGAAGCCTGTTGTTGAAGAAGATAAGCTTTTATCTTTTTTTGTCTTTTATCTTATCTTTTATCTTTTGTTGATAAAGATTGCTTTGTTCTGAACTTTGTATAGTAGTAACTATTCATTCCGTCGGCCAGCTCCTGATCTCATGGGCCTTCCCTGAACAAAGGCACATGACTCTGGGCTGTTGGAGAATTAGACCTGTCCAGTACCCTCTTGGTTGTGTGTGAACTAGAAACAATATATAAACCAGTGCAGGCAGTACTAACTAACGATGTATTGACTGTCGGGGGAGCTGGTGAAGTTGAGGCCTTTGATCCAGTGGTGGTACAGACTGTACCTTGGGGGCACTGTTTTTCCAGCCATGTATTCACAGTTAATACATGGGTAAATGACTGGGACAGCGGCACGTTCTTTGATTTGATTTTTCTCTCTGTTCTCTCCTCTAGTTAATTAACTAGAGGAGGGAACAGAGAGAAAATGAAAGATGGGGTGACAGAAAATGATGGCGCCTCGTGTGAAACGTGGCTGGCCGGCTGGCTACACCCCACGAGGCCGTGCTGGCGATGCGAGCACACCTGAGTGAGGTGGTGCGGTCTCTTCAGCCCCGCCTCTGCCCGACCCTGCAGGTACGCCTTCACCGTCATCGCCAACATCACTGTGTACGCCGTCGCCTGGCTGCTGTTCAAGTTCCAGGCCGGGCAGGTGGACGACCCGGCGATGACCGACAGCCTGGGCTGGCAGGACGTCTCCGTCTTCAGGGTGAGTCTCGGCGGGGGGCGGGGGGGAGGAGCGCGCGCTCTGGCGGGCTGGGCACGTCCCCTAACGGAAAGCGGGTTCTTTCTCTCCTCCTCGCGGGCAGAACCTGGCCCTGATCGTGGTCGGGCTCGGGGCCGTGTTTTCTCTGCTGTTCCACGTGGGCACGAAGGAGAAGGGGCTGGTGCTGCCGAAGCCGGCCGACGAGGATGGGGAGCGCCAGCCGGTGCTGCAGCGGGCGCCCCCCCATTCCCTGATGCAGTGGAAACACTGGCTGAAGGAGCCTGCCTTCTACCAGGTGAGGGGCCTCCTGAGTGCAGCCTCTTCACCCAGGACAGGACCCGCGGGGAGCTGGCGCCTATCCCAGCAAGCAAGGGGCGCGAGGCAGGGTGCACCCTGGACAGGACACACACTCAAAGACGCACTGGCTCCTGGACCAGTCTTCCCAGAAACCAGTTCACCCACCAGCATGTCTGAATTGGAGGAAACGCATGCAAACACTGGGGGAACATTCAGACTCTGGCTATTCATCCTCCACTAGTTCCACGTTTTACTTCCCTTAAACTCTCATTCCTTCCTAGTCTGCTTTTCTGAAACTGTAAATGTGACTTTGACTCGGTGCAGTTGCGCAGAACACCCACATGCAGTACACAACAGATCCCCAGTGGATCTCTCGTCTACCTCCGCCTGGTGCTGGTGGGGTTTCTGTGTTATGCAAGTGTGTGTAGGGTCAGTGGGCGATGTAAAGCTGGTATTCTTGGTTCCTAGGTGGCTATGCTGTACATGTGCACCAGACTGATTGTGAACATGTCTCAGACCTACATCTCCATGTACCTGACTAACTCCCTCATGCTCCCCAAGGTAAGATCCCCCCTTTGAGACTCTCGAGATCGTTAGCGGACATGTTTGCGCCGCCTGCTGGAGCGGCCTGCTGCGTTTATCAGAACCGCACTTGAATCCAGACTGATCTTCCTCTCCTCCTGCAGAACTACATCGCCACGATCCCTCTGGTGATGTACGTCAGTGGATTCGTCTCCTCTTTATTCATGAAGCCAGTCAGCAGGCTGATTGGTAGATATGTGAGTATTTTTCTGTGAGCATCACCAGTGTTGTGAGGGTTTGTTCCTGGAGAGGTGTGTGTAGAGCACCTCACGTCTGGTTCACCTGATGCTGTTTTCTAGGAGCAGAGCCCGACTGCCCCTGGGGTAGTCCTCATCATGCCCTTGTTCACACTGTGTTGTCTGAACAAGAGGTCAATGACCCACGTTGTTCTGCGATCGTATTGCAGAGACGCTTGGTCACGTGACTTGTTGACGCTATCTACTTATCTGAACCCGATGCCTTATAAGTGGCAGAAACAGACATCAGAAGCCTGCCACACATGAGAGATGAAGTAAAACTGTAAAAGCATGCCTGTTTCTGACAATCCACTAGGTTAGTCTGAATGTTTTTATTGACCATCGCCTGTATGGTTTTATGTCCGTGCAAGTCTGGACGGCTGCCCTCTCTTTCGCCTCCTGCTAGATGACCTATTTTGTGGGCCTCCTGCTGATCCTGGCCTTCGCCTACTGGGTGATGGTGGACGTGAAGATGGGCAAGGCGGTGTATGGTGCCGCGGTGCTGCTGGGCGCCGGCTCTGCCACCATCCTGGTGATGTCGCTCTCCATGACCGCCGACCTCATCGGGAACCAGACGGTGAGCCTGCCTCTCGCCAGCCCGCGGGAGGGCTCCGGCACGGGGCTCGTGAGCGATCTGCCGCACGATACTGTCTAAATCCTTTCAGACGGTGAACCCAGTTATCTGACGTGGGTCTTTCTAACTTACCTTTTTAAAGGTGTCGGCAGTAGTGAATTTGTAGCAGATGCAGGATCTGTTCGCTCCTCTGCAAGCAGTGTTTTGTGTCTGAATCGTGTGAGGGGGGCTGAACGTGCTTTAGATTCTCAAAAGGGGGACGCTAACCAAAACCCTGACCTGTGTCGGATGGGGGTCCCTCGGATCTATGGCCTTTAGTGACGTATAAAGCTCTGTGTGAACTTTGAACCAGTTCCCTTAGCTCCCTCAGCAGGATGATCCCTGTAGCCCAGGCTGTCCAGCCCTGGTTCTGCTGGGTCTGTGTTTGCGGTACCTGCAGAACTGGGAGAAGCTGTGTGATCCGATCGCTCTAACGAGTCTTGAGCCGGTGTTCGGGTCAGGTGAAGGGAGTTGTGGCGCGGCCCTCTGGGACCGTGTCCGGCGGCCCGAGCCGAGGCGTCTGTCCGTCCGTCCTCACGTGTGCCCCGCTCTCGTTTTTCCCAGCAAAGCGGGGCTTTCGTGTATGGAGCGATGAGCTTCACCGACAAGGTGGCCAACGGAGTGGGCGTCGTCATCATCCAGAGCCTCCATCCCTGCCAGTAAGTGTGCCCTCGCTTTCTACCCCTTTGAGAGAGCGCGGGGCGGGGCGGGGCTCCGGGAGGCCCAGCGTTCGCGCAGCCCTTTGAAGGGACAGGAAATGTAAAGATCTGTGCATCATGTTGATCATGCATGACATTGGAGCCTGCTCGGCGGTGTGCTTTGTCAAGGGGCGGCGAAGCTCTTCTCAAGCCTAAAGCACTTGCAGGCGGTAAGCAAAGATCAGCAGCTTCATGAGGCTGTTCCTCAAATAGCCGAGACTGCAGGGGGATGCTTTTGCTGCCTGCTGTACCGCTTCTTTCTCTCCGCTGCGAGCGGGGCTCAACCTGCCTCTTGTCTCCGCTGCAGCACACAGATCTGCTGCCCCGCCTGCGTCTGGTTCTACCACCACATCATGGTGATCGTCACCGGGGGAGTGGCCTTCGTGGCGGCTCTGTCCCTGTGCTCCATCCTCATCTGGCCAATCAAGATCCGAATCAGTAAGTACCGCCTCCCAGCCCTGTGCAAACCGTCCAATCGCCACGGGGCGGGGTTCCTCTGCGGACCCAATGGGTGTGATGGGGCCAGATTGCCTCCCTCTCATGTACCTCTGTCCCCGTGGGTGCCTGTCAGAGCTGTGGTTGGGTGGGAGAGACCTGATGAAGGCGGAGAAAGGCCTCGTTGGGTGTGTCGGCTCTTCTGCAAACCGCCAGTTTGAACGATAGATTTCCGTGCTTTTAAAAAGCATCGTGCCTCCACCGTCGACCGTGGTGTTTCAGAATAGGTGTTGGATTCTAGAGAACTGGATTGTGTGATCTGTATGTTTTATCCTGCACTAAGTATTCAACATGCCATATTGTGTTTCACTGGTGCTCTTGCAGTGTGAGAGCTTTGGAGTGCTCTTTGAGGGACTGCTGGCTGGAGCAGCTCTGAGTACAGCAATGCTGTGCCTCTCCATGTATGATGTCATTCTCTCCCTGATGTCACACCCTGTTTGTGTTTCAGGAACCAAGGAAGAACAGATAAACTAGAATTCCAAACATTAAGAGCACTTCTCTGTAGAGAAGAAACAGACCCCGACAACCTACCATCACAGTAGATCTTATTTTGTCATGTATTAACCACGTTTCACTAATGCACATCATGATATCAATCAGATACATAGAAATTAACATTAATACATTTAATTGTCAGTCCTTATTACATAACTTTACAGTTTCTTAACGATTTTCTAATTGTAAATGTATTTAATAATACAAATGTTAAACAGGATAATACCTATTTGGGTCATACACATGACAATGTGAAATTCTTAATGATTCATAATCATAAAAATCATTTTTTAAAAGAAAAACCTCCTCAATTAATGAGAAAATTCAAATAGAAAGTATCTTATTTAGCATTAAAAAACCAATCCTTTTTGATTTGCCATTTTTAATTATGGCACGTTTTTCCACTTGCCATTCTCTCTGTCCCACAGCGCCACTTAGTGGCCCGGGGTTGAACTGCAACACCGAGTAAGCGGCTGCTGCAGTAACTATGCCGGCAGAAACGGACACTTTTACAGCCTTAAAGGAGTCTGCCCGTCTACATCAACAAGAGCTCCCCAAAAAAGGAACATTTTTTATTTAAAGTTAATATACAGTGCAAGAAACTGAAATGGGACTTAGAGAATTTGGCTCAACAGCCAAAACACAGAATACAGGATCCAACTACAGACAGATAAGCAATTCTGCAACAAGTCAATGAACTGTCTGTATGGACTCTTGGATCAGCCTCCTGAAAAATGTTGTCCGTTCACCACCCCTTCTGAACTTTCAAAAAAACCTGGTTTAGGGGGACCAACACTTTCATAGAGTGACTATAGAATCTTATCCCTGTAAACTGGCTGTAAAGTTTATATTTAATTGACCATACTTTGATGGGTTGATTTATTTGAATCGATTTTTAAATTGGCCATTAAAATGAAACCTTGTGAACAAACGTTTTGAGCTCTGCTTTCCACCAGTCCTGCTGCTGTGCACGGGAGTTTTCTTGTGACGGACCGGTCATTTGGTGCCTAAAAGCTGTAACGGCGCACAGCTCTGAAGTCTGCGCGCATCTTTCTTGAGCAGTCTCCACAGGCACAGTGGTCGGGTCCTCGACCCAGTTCTGGGCGGGATTTTGGAGCAAGTCCGATCACAGCTAGGGATTTGGAAGGCCGTGCAGCAGCGCTCCAGGTTGTCTCCTGTGAAGTGCAGCTGGCGCAGGCTGTTCTCCAGGCCGCTGTGTGTGCGTTGTGCCAGCTGGGGCAAGGATCAGCAGAGCCGCTGGAGCTCAGGCCATCGACCGGAGACTCCAGTGATGTTCAACCGCTAAAACGGAGCTCTTTTTTGTGTCACTTTAAGATCGGACTTTGTTGTATACCCACCCGACCTGATGTTGCCAGCCGTGATGCTGTGGGACGCCCCCGTCCCCACGGGGGGGGGAGAGCCAGGAAGTGCTGCAGAGGCCTCCTGATCCGCCCGCCCACTGAGCAGAGACCTGAGGGGCAGGGCTGGCCAGGGGAGGGGGCGTCCTTCCTGAGCACAGGGGTTGCAGGGTTGCCAGCAGCTGAGAGAGCCCTGCGTGGCTGATGCCAGCCCTATCCCTGGCAGCGCTGTGCCAGCTGTGCTGACTCGTGGGTCCTGGATACAGCCGGCGAGTGACGTGGCTCGAACCTGCGGCGCCTGGGTCACCGAGCCGCTCCGCAGCCCGGGCTCAGCTCTCAGTAGGGCTCCCATGGTTGTGTTCCTGTGGCTCCCAGAGCACTCTGACCTGTTCTTGGCATGTACATCTACTAGGCTACAGCAGGGAGCCTTGCGCTGTAACGGCAGCCTACAGTACGAGCCTCTCTGAGGTGATGTGCAGCTGTTAACAGTCCTGGCCTGAGTGAGTTAAGCCCTAAAAGCCTTCTGTCACTTCCTGACTGCATTTGTGTGGGTTAAGGATTTCAAAGAGCCGGTATTCAACCTGTCTGGCTTCCTTTAATAGGGTATAGAGAGCAGTTTTATGCCGTATTAATGAAAGCCTTGAATGGAGAGTTCCTCCCGTCGCTGTCTTCATGCAAGCACATGGCTGGGACTTCACCGCTCTGCCGGTTCTGACAAACTTCTTCCCAACAAGGTGTACACTCACACAGGGTAGCTCACCCTGCACTACAAAGGGATTCCTCAGCACTAGATATTCACCATCTTCGCTTTTTCTGCCTACTTTTCTTTAAAACCCGCAGAATGTACAATAAGAACAAATATCCATGTCCAGACTGTCCTGCAACAGTGTCTCAGGAATAGGCAAAAAGAAGTTCTCATTCCAAAATACGCAAACTAATCAAATCAAGTTTTCCGCTTGCCAGAATGGCGAATCGGACCACACGTGTGTAGAACAGTTGATGACGTGGGTAAGTAACTTGCTTTTGTACAGGGGGTGTTTCCCCCAGGGCCACTGAAGTAAAGTGGTAGCTGTCTGGTGTCGCCGAGTCGGCTCCCTTTCAGATTCCAGCACTGTCTCCTGGTGGGCTTCAAGCCTGTTTAAAGTAAAACCCCGAGGAGAGTTCCTGACCGCGGGTCTGTTGAAGTTTCTTTGCATCTTTCCTGATGAAACCTTGTAGAGTAGCTACACTGGTGTGTCTCACCATTGACGCGAGCTGTGGGGCTGGAACTGAATGAGATTCGAGGGTCTTAGAGAGGAGACGGTACTAGATGCTGACTTGTGTTTTGTTAACCATCGAATGTGGGATTTCTTGCAGACCCGTTCTTTGTTGCTTCTGCTCCGCTGCTGTATCGGTGTCACCTGTTGCTCTCCGCCCAGGAGCGGGATGCCGGCCAGAGCTGGGCAGGTGTAGGCGTCGCCCCTCGTCGCCAGCCACCTCCCGCTGGGCTGGGAGATGATAAATCACCAAGGAAATATGAATGAGCTTTGGAAAAATTCTGGATTTTCAGACAATTGTTTTGGTTTTCTGTGTAGGCCCAATGCCCTGGTGCTTAGTGGTGCTCTGCTCTGGCACAACTTCCTCCCCCCAGGGGGGGTGTTGGCGTCGGGTTCTGCCCACGACCACTAACCCCCCCCACCCTCCGTGTGCCCGCGCAGGTCTGTCCACGATCACTGGCCTGATGGGGACGGACAGCGAGGACGTCGGGGGCACCCAGGTCGTCAACTGAGGCCGCGGCTCTGTGGCGGTGGGAGCTTCTCTCTGTTCTGTTCACCCGGTGCGGTCCTCCCCTCCCTCCCTCTCTCCCGCAGGACTGCCGCAGGATCTCCACAGAAAGAGGAGCGCTGCCTGCTGCTCTTGCACTGTTGGGATCCTGCACCCCTCACTACACAGCAGTGGCTCCTCGGTCACGTCTGCACCTTACGAGGGAGACCTGCCCTGAATTCCTCTGCAGTCCTTTCCGTTCTGTCCTGCAGGGAAGAAGAGGGGGGGTGAACTGGGGAGGGGAGGGGGGTTCACATGGCTACTCGCTGTGTGGAAGCCAGAAACACTATCGATTTGCAATAAAAGAAAGGAAAGAGAATAGCAGCCCAATCTAGATCTCCGAGACTGGGCTGAGAGAGGCAGGCCACTGACTGACCTCTGGCTCCATGTGCAGAAAAGGCCAGTTTGGAGTGGAGCTGGCAGCTGCTTTAATGGCAGGAAGTCAGAGACTCCAGTCAGGAGGCACAGAATTGCCTCTAGTTCAGTTTATCAGCCTTCAGAATTTCCCGATCTCTGCGTCAGTACCTCTCTGAAAACTTAACAGTGAGTCAAGACATCAGTCTTCACATTCACTGCTAAGGGACCAAAGAAATTAGATGGGAAGATCTCCAGCCTGCCCAGTCGGGCCAGAGCAGGACCATGTTGTTCCTGTGTGAAATAGGTTGTCATTGAAGGACTTGTCTTTAATTCCTTGTTTTGTTACAGTATCTGAAACTATAGCTTTTGATGTAACCTTGTTGGGGGAAGATTGAACTTTCATATGCCTAACTTTTGTGTTTTCTGATTGGTATGATGAAGAATCATAATCATACGCGCTTTTGAAACTAACACATAAGTTTAAAAGTATTTTTTTGCACTGTACTCTGCATTATGTTCTAATCTTATGCCGCAAAATAGTTTAAAATGCTATTTACTGTTGTGTCTTTAGTTCTTATATCCAATACATTGGAAGTGAAACATCTTGTTTTAGATCTGTGTATTCAAGAATGCACAAAGTGTGCAGGAATCCTGTCTTTCCTCCTAAGTGGTCTTCTTTTAAGGAGGAGGAATGCAGTCTTGGTGCTGGCACGTGCTCGCTGCCTCCTTTACACAGCTGTCACGGATCTGAGGTCCCTGCTTCCCCAGGGAACCCATCTTGGCTTAGTGATTTCCAGGATATTCTGATCCGAATGTAAAAATGGGAAACATTGACTTCTGGCCAGGCAGGGCAATAAAAGGACACCTATTCTTCAAGGAGAATTTAGCAAAAAACAATGCAATAGTGAAGTTCAGAATAAGAGATGGTTTTGCACCTGTGTGAAAGATTTGAATGTCCCGTTATTCTGCTGATCGGTTTCAGTAACTTGTTTCTCTTCTGGTCGCTGTGAAGCATGGTGGAGGAGTACTTTCTTGTGAGCAGACTAGGCTGGGCTGCTGCTTTTAGAAATGCCTTTCCTCTCTCTGGAAAAAAGCCCTCTGGACAAATGGGTCCCTCCAGCAGGTTCCCCTGGTTTCTCTAGTAACTGCAGTAACCAGAGCTTCACTGTCGTCCAGTCTTTTTCAGCACTGATTGCAGCCAGCAAGAAAACAGAGATGTTAAACTAAAGTAAGAGCCCACGTTTTTCATGTTCCATGTAACCGTTTGGAAGAGTCTTGTTTCGAATCAGATTCCCTCTTAGAAACGGAAATCAATTGGAACTCGTCACTTTAATAGCTGCTCAAGACATACAATCATGGAAACATTCTTTATAGTTAGGAAAGAATTGAGACCCCTTCATCATAGTGGACTATGTTATTGTCATAAGGTGTCCATGAGAGGGAACCAAATTTTATGCTATTATGGGTCAACGAGAAAGGTGTGTGTGTGCCTTTCAGTTTTACCAGAGATCTGAAAGAAAGTACAGAAAAGGAGACATTTCTCAGGAAGAAAAATTCTTCTGAAGAAAATGTGATCATTTAGTTGCAGGGGGGGTTGTTCAGTTTTAAAAGCATGATCCAGGGAGTTTTCACTAAAAATGGGTGTCGGTGTTCTGAATTTCCTGTCTGTTCCTACTTGGCTAATTTCAGTCACTTTAAGGGGTTGAAAAATGTATGTAAAATAAGTGATTTGTTTTCCATCACTGTGATCTTTAAGATGTTCATTAAAAACTGTTTGCGGCTGGCACCTGGTGTTTTTCTGGGGTGTTCGGAGGGGGGGTGCTGAACGAATGTGTGAAGGTATGGTGTCCTCGTGCCTGATCAGATGTGTGCGATGGTGAGAGAGGCACTTGGAACAAGACAAAGGCTCGTGGAAGGGGATGGGGGAGGAAGAGGTGGTGGGTTTGAAGATGAAGCAGAAAGTGTGAGAATTCCAGGGCGTTGCGCTTGTAAGCCGCCTGCTTTGGCATCTCCCACAGCAGTGCAAAACACACAAGCAAAACAGAAAATCCCAGCCGCCCTGTGTGATGAATTGAAATGGATAGTGGGGACACCAGATTGAGCTACGTTCATCGAGTAGTTCTGTTGCAGACTGTGAAGGTTCAGAAGCTGCCAGTAGGAAAGTAGCAACACGTTTACTGCTTATTTGTCGTTCAAGCCGTTTCAGTGAGGGCCCGTTGAGCTTTTGTGATGTCTTTTTAAATAAAAAAAAAACCCCAAAAGCATCACTGCTTTGAATCTGCCCTGCTGTTTGAAGATTATCGTTAAAACCTGATATCTCTGTGAGCGGGAGAGGTGCCCGGCTGTGGTCTGCTGCGAGGAGTGCTGACCGTCGCAGGCTACGCTGCTGTGATGAAGGGGGACGAATAAACTGCATGTTGCCTTGTCCCATTCTACACAGTCGGGGAGTAAATTGAAAAATTACCAAAGTCCTTTAATTATTCTGCCCCAAAACTGAAGCCAGGCGAGCCCTCCAGGACTGAACTGGCCAACAGCACAGTGTTTAGAAATGTGGTCAGGCCATTGACGAAAGCACGTCATCGCTGCTCGTTAACAGAGCCACTAATTGGAGTCTGAAGTGGCCCGCTATTGGACAAAGTAATCTGAACAGATCTTGCCCCCACTCCCCCCCCCAGTAAAAACAGTCTATAGCTCCTAGACGGGATTCTCGAGGATAATGAAAGGCTTTGCAATCAGGGAAAGAGGGTGACTCGGTCAGAGTGTGGGAGGCACCAGCTCTCGCCCCTCTTTCCATGACGTTACGGGGCGATGGGTGATCTCTGGAGAAACCAGCGTTTGTGTGTCGGGGGGGGGAGTGTGCAAGTCAACGGAAAGATTTCCTTTCGGGTTGCGCATCCTAGATTTCCAACGCACACTGCAGCTCTCCTCCGCTGCGCGATTTCCATCTTCCCTCTGAAACGGGGTTCGCAGAGAGGAGAAAGGGGGCTGCCATTTTTTTCCACAAAGAGGCCTAGAAAGACATTGTGGTACGGATGTTCCTTGAGTTGATCTCTTATTTCTTCTATTACGAAGCCAAATGATCAATGCTTGCCCTTGCAAAAGAAAATCCAGTTGGAAGCATTAAGAGCACTGTGTTGTGATTGTGACTGGTCCTTGGGTTACAAACAGCATAGTTCTAGTGAGCACTGTATTACTCCTGACACATGGAAACATGAGTAGGAGCTGCTATTAATTAACAACGCAACAAAGACCGGAAGTGTTTCAAGCTGAGCATTGCTTACAGTGCCTGTCTTTTTAACTCAGCTTCATAGCTGCCTTCATGCTTTGTCAAATAGGAAGCACAAGACATCAGCTACAGTCATAGTTTCAGCCAAGTAAGGGAGACCTCACACAGTTCAAGAATACTTCAACTGGAATGGTTAGCTCTACCAAAGCCGAACTCGTATTAAAAGGCAGGAGGGAAGGGTTGTGTCTGTTACGCACCCCACTCGTGAAATTACAGATTTCCTGACTTGGGTAGACTCTGCAACTTGAGAACCCGGTTGCGGTTTCCCTGTTGATTTACAACGTTAATAACTTCATTATTTCTTGCTTGGTGTACCCAAGCATTCCGTCACCTTTGGTGATCTATGCCTCACGGCCGAGATTGGAAATTAAATATCGGGCATCAGTTCATGGCCCACAAATAACTTAGTGTACCAAATTCCCATAAATGTGCCAACTGCATTCGAATAGCTGGAAAAAGTCTCCAATGACTATTTGTCAAAAAGGAGCAGATGTGTCCGGAATTAATGTGCATGGATCATTTGTTTATTTTTCTGGAAAAAAAGGGAGCAAAGAGATTTTTTTAGGGACCCACGGAGAATAAAGATGTCTAAAAAGAGCAAATGGCTCCTACATTATTAAATAAACCAGTTTAGAGTATGTGGGCCACAGGGAAGTCCAGCTGTCAACACTTATCACTCAGTAACTGGCACTTTTTTTTAAAAATAAAGCTGTGAACCAGATGTTCTCTGCGGATCGGGCAGGATTTGGGGCTGTGCGCGGTGAGCTGGGGTGGGGGAGATGTGTGCTCGAACACAGTGCGTTTCCTTACGAGCCACCCAGCCCCTAATCTCTGTAAGCTGCTCAAAGGAAGCCTGTCCCTGGCGCGTTCAAGTAACAACCACTTGGGCAGCTCGCTCACTGTACCAGGCACCCGCCTCTCATGGCGCTCAGGGCTGAACCAGGGGGGATCCTGGAGATGACACGCTTCCCTTTCTAAAAGCTTTGCCCTGTTTGTGCAGAGCTGAAATTTCCTCTACATATTTTATACATGTTTAAGGTTTAAAGGTGCCAATCTTTAACAGAGGTAAAGATAACCCAATCCAAGCAACAGAGATATTCCAAAATGATTTTTTTTTCTTCCATCCAAACATCCCTTTTCTGAAGTCGATCCCATAATGTGCCAGCAAGCAACGGGCCGAAAGCAGGCTACACCCTGGATGGGATGCCAGTCGATCGCAGGGCAGACAGGCACAGACACACACA